TGCACATTACTATTCGAAACACGAAGCAGGGGATTCCTTGCTTTTCTTCTACTTCTTGTTTAAAGAAAAACACTTCATTGTAGTGGCCGTATTCCCGAATCGGTCTTGATTTTGCCACAAGCCTCGAGGCTTTCTCGACTAGGCGTCCTTCTCCCTTGCACACAGATCACCTCGTTCGACCATCGGCCGAAAGATCCCATGCGAAGGAGTGCCACAAATCAACCTGAAAACATCACCTCAACAGGAACTCCGCTTCAACAATCAGCCAACTCGCAGCGGATGGTTCAAGCTTGGTCCTTTTGTTGAACGGAAACGCAGGGGCACCCAAGCAAGCCGCAGGAATCAAAACAAACATACCAGTGTTCGAAGCTTTTGACTTCGTCCTTTGAGGTCTCTGGGGGTCAACAGCGCATGGGTTGTGTCAATTCTATGGGGTGGGTTTCGTCGTGGCTTCCAAGGCTGGTTCAGATGGGTTTTTCTTAGTTCAGACCCAATTCTTCACAGGCTTTAGAGGTGCCCGACGGTGTCCGTATTTTAAAACTCGGACTACCGCGCCTCGTAGACCGAGCTTACCCGGGTGCCCAGGGTGTCGCCAAGTGTGCCCTCAGCAGTCGGATGACTCGGATGTGTGTGTGTGTGTGTGTGTGTTCCCCCCCAAAGTGGCAAGTTGGGCTGGGGCGAACTGCTGGGGACGAGATGTCGTTGTGCTTCCCCAACAGCACAAAATCTTCGGGTTTCTGCCCATGTGGTTCAGAGCGGGGCTAGGATTCCGGAATTGTCCCGAGTTGCTGTTGGGGATTACTACCACGTGGGCCTGTTTGCGGCTTGGTGAACTTTTTTGCTTGGTTTAAAGGGCAATCAAAAGGGTAATCATCATTTTGGAGGGCCGACTCCCTATTTGACACATATCTAAATAAATGTAGCTAGAAAAAGTACACCACTTCCAACTGTTTCAACCCGAAGCCTCCCTGGAACGCTCCCAGCTGCCCCACCCCAATCCCAGGCTTGGCCTGCCGACCCCTAGCCAATAGCATAGGGGAAATACCCTTACGTGATGTACGCAGCAACAAACACACAAAAACACAGACGCGCACCAACACGCAGCAACACACAGAAACACAAAGACACAATCACGCGCGCGAAAACACAGACACACAGACACACCCACACACAAACGAACAAATGTACACGTTTGATTGTGGTCCAAAAAGGATCCAACAAGTGCGGGAAGAGATTTGCAAAAAGCCCCCCCGAACGGGCACCCAAGCTCCGTGACCAAGATGTAGCCAAAATCAGCCCTTCCCTAACCAGATGTTCCGTTTCAACTTGGGAGCCCGGCCTACATATTGGCCCTAGGGTTCAACCCCCATCAAAAGAATGGTTGACCCACTTTGGAGGATGACAATCCTTGTAATCAATGGTGGTGATATAAACCCCGATGGTTTTAGTGGTGGTTGGAACCCCAGGATTGGGATATAAGTGCTGTAATATACCTTAAAGCTACAGATAGGTGCGCTTCAATGGCAAGCATTTCCCCAATGGAGCTGTCTGAACCGAGCCGGGTCCGGGGCCCCGCCTCGTTGTGCAGGTGCCGAAATTCCATCTCGGGCATCTGCATCCTGAGCACTCCGAGTCGAGTCCAAGCAGAAATGACTCTCTCTAAATGGGGGAAAGTCGAAGCAGAAATGATTTGGTGTGTCTCTAAATGGGATAAAAACATATAAAAAACCCACTGGCTTCGGTTCCCTTCGTGCAAACAACATGCTTTCTCAGGGGACTGGTTGTTCGTTTCCCTTTGAAGCCACCAAGCCCAGCGACGCTTTTCCGCGGAACTGGTCGCTGGCTCTCCGTGGGCCAGGGTCTAGGTGATCCACGCAGGGCCCAGCCACCAGCCTACCAAAGCTTTCAGCTATGGGGCTTACAGCCTCTGCTCTGCTTGCTGCAGCTTCGTCCTCCAAATTGGGTTGCCCTGACTTGCAGGGGAGGTGGAAGCCAAGTCTTCTGGCACATTGTTTGATTCCGCATCAGTTGCACTTGCAAAAGGAACCTACAAGCTTGGAGGTTTGTTGGCCTCTTTTGCTCAAAGAAACGAAGCCTTTCATGGGATATGCGATAAATCTCACCAAGCAATAAGCTTTTCAGAGCTGCTAAGAAAAGGGGCGTTGTGCGCTTTGATTTGCTGAAGCTCACGCGGTGGTCCAGTCGAAGGCTTGAGTTTGCCAAAAAAACAAGGGTCTGCAAAGCAGCGCAACTCGCTACATTCTGTAGAGAAAATGTGTGGGGGAGGGAGGGTGCCATAGGTCGCTATGTAATATCCAGGCATATCCAGGCCACAGCAAACATCCAGCAAGAGTGGCAAAGTCGAAAGGGACAAATCCGGGACACATCGACGGCTTCAGGTGCTTCCTTGCGATTCCGCAACAGCAAGCCATTCCGCATTCCGCAGCTGTCACGATGGCTCCCAATGCTTTGCCGTGGATGACCGCGGAGACGCCGGGGCAGCAATGGTTGGACCCATCCATGAGCACTGCTATGGTTGCAGGCGGAGACCAATGCGAGGCTCCGTCGCAACAAGCGATTTCCTTGGGTGCCTGGCGAACCTGAACCCTTACCAAATGCAGCCAAGCACACCTTAGAACGGTCGAAGCGGTATCTGGGGGACCACTTCTGGCTTTGGTATAAACCGAGGGTTCAGTTAAAGCCATGAAAACAATGGGGGTTCATATAACCACCCGTGTTTACCTCATCCACCTTGGGTGCCAAGGCCGTTCTTTTAATGGGGGTTGAACGGGCCAAGGTGGAGCTTTGGAAACAAAGTCTCAGTGCTCCCACCTAATTACCACTACAGTAGGTAATCAGGGAAAGCCATCATGTAAAGCCTGGTAATGCTATGCCATACACTGGGCCAGACTGAGCCCGCCTGCAACAGCTTATAACAGTTTGCTGGTTGAAAGTCCAAAACGCCGGAACACCAAAAAGGCAAACAGCCAAGCAGGCAAGCTAAATCTGGCAATGCAATGGTTCTCTAACGGAAGTTTGATCGTGGGTAAGCTCATTTGTGTTTGCGCATCCGGAATGGTTCTGGGTGAAATGGGAAGCCATACCTACTATGAGCATTCTGAACCATGTCCTACCTAAATCCATCACCAACCTAAAAGAAACTCGGGTGATGGTTGGAACCAGGGGGGGCAGATAGTGATTGAACCCCAAATTCCCGACAACGACCACATCGAAAAAGCGACATACCTTAATCCTGCATGACTCAGTGTTCGATAGGGGCCAAACAGGGGGGGTCGCCAGATTGAGTAGTCACCAGCTTGCTTACGCGAACCCTCTGCGAACCCCAGCTGGGTTAGCCGAACTTAGCCGAACCTAGGGGGGGTTAGTGGAGGGTTAGTGGGGTGTCCCGCGCGTAGCCAGCAGGCACCAAAGCAATGCGATCCTTTTTGCGTCAAACCAGGCAGCCATCGTCTTTCAGTGGCTCACTAGAATCGGGGCCTGTCGACACACGATGCATCATCGGACAAACAACACAACACTTGAGAATCACAAAAAGACAGTGGATGGCCTGCCTGATGGTGTGCTTGGCCCAATGGATGCGACCAAGCCTCAGCCATCATCCAGCTCCAGCAATAAGCACATGAGCGGGTCATGTTGGTGAAGTCAAGCCATGCACTAGCGTACGCGTGGGCAAAATGAGGACCGCTCCCTTGCAAATCGCCCAAAGCCTGGGCGTGAGGGATGCTTGTGAACCGCAAAACCATGGTCAACTGTCAAGGCCACGGGTTGGTGTGTTGCAGGTGGCTGGTGCTCGGGCGTTGGGTGGTTTTGCTGGTGGGTTTTGCAGCGGTTGGCTTTTTGCAGCTGGCTCGTTTGTTGTCGACGCATTCTTTATGAACCTGTTCTGCTGTTGGCTGGCCTTAGATGGACATATTTAATCAAAAACACCACCCACACAACCACAAACATAAACACCCACCCACCCACCCACCCACCCACCCACCCGCCCGCCCGCCCGCCCGCCCGCCCTACCAGCCACCCACCCACCTGCTCCACCCAACCCACCCGCCCCACCCACCCACGCCCACCCACCCACACCCATCCACCCACCCACCCACACCCACCCACCCACACCCACCCCACCCACCCACACCCACCCACACCCACGCCCGCCCGCCCACCCGCCCACACGCCCCGCACAAACCCGCCACACCGTGCCACACCCTGGCACACCCACTCGCCCACACAACTAGGCGCCAGACACGCTTGCCCTTTTTTCCAAGGAGCTGCTCATTTGAATGATTGGGCTGTATTGCGGGGTTTATATCCCTGGTCCTTGGTCCCTGGTCGTTGGTCCCCTGGTCTTTGCTTGGTCGGCGCCTTGATCTTTGGTATCATTCGTGCTAGGACACACACGGTAAAGACACGAGCGCTCTTGGAAACAAACATGGAAGCCAAGCATGTCCCGAATTGTTGGCCAGTGCTCTGTCCAAAACGATCTTGCGGATGCACCCCTCACACCCCACTCTCCCACACCCCCACACCACCACACCCCCACACCCACACTCCTTATATCCCTGCACATTTCATTATTGATGTTGAACCAAGATTGCGCTTCTGACCGTGGCTGCATCGCTGAACATACACCAATCACAATGGACAAAGGCAAACAGCAGCAGAGTATCGCAATAGCATTGCTGCTACTCTAAGCTGGCAACATGGCAGAATCTGATTGACGAAGGCCGAGACGAAGCCCTGCGAGCAAATGCCAGTGTGTGAGACTTAATTAGACTGAGCGCCAGGCTTGGACCCTCCTTGCAGTTGATGGACCACCTCGGACTCCAGATAAACAAAGCAGGACAGGGAAGCATCATGAAGACATGCTCTTTTCGCCAGCGCTTGGCACATTTTGACTTACATCGCGTGCTCGACCTGACAACAAAAAAACCTATAATCACGTGGCCTTTATGCAGGGCAAAGCCGTGAGACCACGGCGTGACTCAATCCGACTCAACGTCGCTCAGACCGCCCTTGCCACTCTTGGGCTTTTGAGGGCTGGACATTTTCAACTGCTTGGCCCCTGTTTCAGGAGACCCTTGCTTCTTGGTTGTCTTCCGGCTCTTCCGTGGCGGGGTCTTGACTTCAGGCTTCTCGTCTAAAGTCCCAGCGTCAGCGCAGTCCTTCAGAAACAGCGGGCCAGCAATCTTGATGTCCGGGGACTTTTGCAACAATGACGAGACGCTCAGGGAAACCAAATCCCTCTTCAGGACTGCTTTGGCGAACGAGTGACCGAGGACCAGCTCTGTGTCATCACCGCAGATGCAGTCCGGGAGTGGCAGGACTTCTCCAGTGGGGACAAACCGCACGACCTTCTCACCGCTCTCATCATCCTCCAATCGCCAGTAGCTGTGGGCAGACCAGAAGGCCTACCGGGCAAAGCCCAAATTTTCAAAATGCGACAAGCCCTAACATCCAACATTAAGCACTATTGAACTACAACATGTGACACGCGGCATTGGTGGTGGATTGGTTCTGCTTCAGGCCTGTGTGGTTGCATCCCCGTCTGAGTCAAAGAGCCAGTCTTTGCAGCGCTCCCCATTGCGGACCCAGCGGTCGCGGAAGTAGTCCCTCAAAGGCCCAACCTTCTTGGTTGGCAAGGCCGAGGCAGGGTCCATGTTGGTGAGATATGCCAGGATTGACCCGAGGTCGGCTTTCGGCGTCTTTTTCGGCAAGCTCTCAATGAAAGCGCCCATGGATGGAAGGAAGCCGGACACGAGCTTGACCACGTTGTCCCTGGACAAAAGGTGGACCTTGTTTTGATAGGGTGGGAGCTTCTCCTCGGCCTCCGATTCGTTCTCCGACCCCGAATCCCAGGACCCTGACCGCACCTGACAGAGCATGGCGCTCGTTGCCTCAGGATGTTTCTCGCACCAGTCCATGAGTTCCTTCAAGTTAGCCTCCTGCGCGACCTGAGCTTGCCAGTGGGCATTATCCTTGCCCATGCGCTTCTGCTTCTGCAACAACTTCAAGTCCTTCATCGTCTCGGCTTTCTTGAGCTGGCCGGCTTTCTTCCCAGCCATGGCCACAAATGATTAAACGCTACAAAAGTCAGGCCTCTCTGACAAATGCCTGAAGCAGCAAATGGCGAGATGCAAACATGCTCTTGCGCCGCGCGATGGCATGAAATGTGAGACAGCATGCGCATGCGTGCTCGCTGACACAAGCACGCCGCAGCCCTTGCGACGCTCAGAGCGTGGCCCGTTGACATTGACCGTGCTGAATCTCCAGACCTTGGGGCAGCCCTGCGTGCTCCCTGCGCTGCGTACACCCAGACACTGTGGCCACTGCAACCTTGACCTCTTCGGGGACGGCGGCCGCACAACTAGCCCTATGACCTGTGACTCGCGCAAGATGCCTCCACGGACTGCGCGCATTGCAGGGTAAAAGCCTGCAAGCAGGCAAGTGAGATTAAGCAGGCAATCAGATCAAGCCAGTCAGCAAGCATGGCTGCAACAAAGAACGCAGTGTGCAAACTGCCCGGAATCTTTTTTTCGCGTGCCACAGGCTGCAAATCTTACCTCTGCCGGGCTGAAACAAGAACACGTGGCTGTGAGTTCGACCACTGCTATCGACAACTTATTTTGTTTCAAGCTGCGCTTGCCATCCTTAACGTTGGGCGCTGGAATGCTGCAAGCTGTTTTTGTTGCGGCTTAGGCTCCTTGTGATAATGAACAGGTTTTCCCGAACGCCAACCGAACAAGTGACCTGACACATTAAGCTGCAAGTTTTTCCCTGAAGCTATTTGAACGTTAAAGGTAAATACAAGTGGCCAATGGAAACAACCAAATAGACGACTAATTATACCAAAGCCAGCCTCACAGGCAGAGTCAAGCAGGCCAACTGAAAAATCAACTTGAATACCCTCCCCAAACTTATGATTAAAAGCAAAGGGATGGCAACATGTCGGAGATTCAAATTTTCAGCTTTCCGCAAAGCAGTTTTCAAAGGCAAAGTGAAGGCAGCCAATTAGCTGATTGGAACATCGACTTGAAAATTTGCCCCGGAAGCAGCCTAGATGAAAACGTGCGGGCAGCCAAGTGGAAACGGAGGCAGCAAACTGGCAAATCTAATCATGGAAGCAAAGTCAAGGCGGCCAACTGGGAAATTAAATCGAAAGCTTTCCTTAAAAGCAGTTTTCAAGGCACAGTCAAGCGGCCAATGGCAACATCCAATTGCAAGTGTTCCACGAAAACAGCCTTAGATGAAAAGAGCAGGCAGCCAAGTGGAAGCAATTCAAATTAATTGTTTGAAGCGAAGGTAGCCAATTGGAAAACCAAGCTGGAAGCCTTCCCCAAAGACCCTGCTGAACGGCAGCCAAATGGAAAACAGACCCGGGAACTTCTTCGAAACATTTATTTGTTTTATGGCTTTCTTATTGTAGACCACTCTCATGCCACGACATTCTTGAAGTCGAACGGGCAGTGGCAGTTTGGGTGAAACATTTTGTGCCTCTCCCAGGCGCCTTGCACAACCGATTCCACTGGCGCTGACTCATTCCCGCTTGGCCCCCAAGACCTGCTCATACTCCATCCACTTTTGTGGAAAATCCGCCAACACTTGTTAAAAGTGTCACGGTAGCACCGATAAGAGCCATCTGGCAGCCACGCAGACACACGCTCTGCATCGAAGACCCTGAAACTTGCAAAGTTGACCGGCTTTCGCTTGACAGCTTTTGCTTTGGACCCTGCTTTGCGCACGCGGCTGATTGCCCCTGCAACGTCCAAAAATGCCTGATGAGAGGCCTTGGCTTGCTTCAAGGCATCTTGCACTTCTTGTTGGTCTCGAGCGTGAACGAGTTCTTCGAAAGCTGGCTGCTTCAGCAAATCGATGAGGTCTTGTTTGTCGTCCGCGTGTCTATGGTGCAAGTTGCTCTCCATGATGTCAGCAGCCTTTTCTGGTGAGACCTTCAGCGCCTTTTCAACGCAGACCCGCAAAAGTTCCCCTACGAGATGACTGTCTTGGACCGCGGCATCCTGGGCAAACTCTTCTTTTGCCAAGAGCTTCAAGATGCTGGCTGGCAAATCCCAGTATGCGTGCTGGGCACTATACTCCAGAAGCGGGACCTTATTGCGGGAATCTTCGTCTGACTTACACACCAGCGGGAGAGCAGACAGGTCTCTCTCTTTGTGCCTTGCAAACATGTGAAGTGGGCTATACGTGTCTGATGGCAACACAGACCAATCCGTGAAGCAGGAGACCTGCGCCCACACAAGTGATGCTGTGGATAAAGCAGCATCGGCAAGACTCCATCCATATTTACATTCCTGTAAAGGGACTAGCAACACACCACTGTTGCCAGGCCAAACGCCCAAAGACAGACAAGGTCGAGGCCAGGACTTGTGCATCACCACCAAGCCCTGACGCAACAGAGTGCTCCGCCACGTTGCTGCGAGCTTGCCAATCGAGTCGGAGTCCTTGGCGTTGGCTAATAACGTCAGCTCGCAGGCAAGGCCCCCTACACCTTGAGGTGAAAGGGAAGGCCACACCATTTGTTTCAGGATTCCTTTCAGCACAGGCGAAGTGGGCTGCTTACGCTGGATGTGGTAAACAGACTCAGGCAAACTGACTGCTGGCAAGGTCGTATCTGTGGCGACCTCGTGAAAGCCAGAACCCTCCAAGACCTTTCTGAAGGAAAGCGTTTGCCACACCTGGCATGATGTCATGTCATGACCTTTGTTTTCTGTGGACTCTGTTTCACGAAGTCGGGAGAAACCTTCCTCATTCCACGTGCACCCGAAGCCACTGAAACAATCATCCAGAAAACAACGCAGACCTTTGCTCAACTGCCACTCGCTGCGCTCAAGCTCCGCCACGACATCCCGCATGATTTGCAAATTGAACGGAGACCGCTTGGCAAACACCTGACACCATTTCCCGCGACGTGTTGCAGCTGCTTTGTGTGCTTCATAACTGCGCCGCAAGTGTACCAGGGTAGCGGCTTGCTCAGCCTCGGTGCCCAGCAGCAAGACTAATTTCATCGGGTAGCCAAACAGGACCGGAGAAGCGTACACGAGCTTGTAAAAGACCAGCGTCAAGGCCATCTTCATGTGTCGTTGGCTTTGTTTGTCCTGTAGCCGAACCTGTGGGTGGTCCACAGACATTCTGCCAACAGCATTGCCACAGAGCTCGGCCTCAAACCAAAGACCTGTGCTCTCCAACGTGTCTGGCTGCAGAAGCTGCTCCAGAATCCGACCGGCTACTGCCAAAGGCCCCCCCCGAGCCTGTTCAAGCCAGTGCTGTCTGCAGCCCTCTTTGCCAGTGCTCAGCAAAGACCGGATGCCATGCAGCTCATGACCTTGGTCGCTCAGAAGCTTACACCCAACATGTTTCAATCAATAATAAGTTTATGGAAGCCAGGGGCCGGTTGGCCAGCCCTCGGTTGAGAAGCCCGGAATGTCCAAACATGCCAACAAACGGCCAGGCCACCATGTGCAAGATGGTTGGTTTTACCAGAAACACCTTTATTGGGCTTCCTGCAGTCGCGTTACACATAGTGCTCGGGACTGTTACGATGTCAGGATACGATTGGTTCGCCAGGGACAGGCATGTTGCACTGCTCACAGACAGGCTGACAGGACTCCCCTAACGCGAAGCCACTATACGCGCCATCAGAACGCTTTCCAAAGGGCAACGTGTCCATGTGTGTCTGCGCCAGATGTCTCGCTAATCAATGAAAGCCAGGCTTCGAATCAACGAAGTATCTTGAACTCGGTAACCCCGTTCTGTACCAACCATGCGTGACAGAAAAACAGCCAGACCCCAGGACACATGCCTATTGCCTGAAACGTTGAAGCAATAACATCTGGTGTGCAGAACAGGGGTCAAATTTCATCTGTCGATGCGTGGAAAATTAGGCTGGGTTCCGTTCCTTGTCACACACACGGGCACAGACACAAAACAATTAAACCCCAAAAACACAGAAACACATAAACTCACAAGAGCACCAACATGCAAACAGAAAGCTGCCAAAAGTGTGAAGAAAGCAAACACCCACACACACACACGCACACGCACAAGTGCCAACGCATGCTAACACGCGCAAGCAGGGGCCAACCTGCAATAATAAAGGCACACGTGGCGAGCACTCCCGCAAACTTTAGCGCACACACACGCAAAAAAAAAGAAAACAGGGAAACGTGCAAACACGAACCACACACACAAACACACACACACACACAACCGCACAAACACACAAACAAACAAACACACAAACACAAAAACACACAAACGCACAAATGCACAACCACACAATCGCACAAACGCACAAACACAAACACACACACACACACACAAACACACACACACACACACACAGAGACACAGACAGACAGACAGACAGACAGACAGACAGACAGACAGACAGACAGACAGAAACAGACAGACAGAAACAGACAGACAGAAACAGACAGACAGAAACAGACAGACAGAAACAGACAGACAGAAACAGACAGACAGA